AATAAAAATACCACAAAAATGATAAATGTATGTATGGTACCCTTTTTTTTTTTTGATGCCGTATACAACTCTAACTTTAACAGATTTGGTAAACATTTGGGTACACAAAGCAATCAATGTTTTAAGGGCCTTTGTTGATATGTGGGTTTGAGAGGGTTTTGAATCATGAGTTAGGGAATAAATCCCCTTAAACACATGTTTGGAAAATACATATGTAATCCAGGTTTTGAAACCCGGCTTGGTCATGAAACCCAAGGGGGAGTTAGTTTCATATGTAGGTTAATGAGTTTAACATGCAAATGACATTTATACTCTCATATATTCTATATACCCCATATATACAAATTAGTTAAGAGGCACAATAGTCATTAATATACAAATATATTATCATAATAGTCATATATCCCTATGCATATTAAACATGGGTATGAACAACATTAAATTTTGAATCTCATATTTGAATCACATCTTTGGATTTGGAAGGATTTAGACAAGTCAATCCAAACCCCTCTCACAAAACATAGCAAACAACTCCAAAGTGGCTTGCAAGGATTGAATGATTAAATTTTGAAGAGTGATGTTATTGATATCTAAAAAATTGATCTAATTTGTTGATCTAATTAATAATATAATAGTGAAATAGTCCAATAGTATTGTTGTAATTGTAACTTTTGAACTTCTTTATTTGGACCCTATCACTTATCTAATTATTATGTCAGTAAATAATTGGGTCAATTTTTTAGTTTACAATAGCATTAATCAATTTAGAATGTTGCTATTCAAACCTAGTTTATAAACCTAATTTTTCTAACCTAGTTTACTGCAAATGTTGGATTGACAGCAGATCTCATCTAGCATTGAAACGTGTTGTTAAGTTTGGATATTAATGTCCAGTGTTTGAGGTTGGGCTAAAAAAACTAAAATTCAATAGATTCAAAGTTAGACTTGGTACTTGATTTGCGCCATGATAAATGAGAGGCATAAACCAAACGGATGTGAATTCACTAATTCAATTCAATCTAAATTACAAACCTAGTTGTATAACCCTAGACTTGAAGCTGAGTTTCAATTCAACTTCTGTAGCCCGTGTTCCAAGATTAAATTTAAGCCTGAGCAATACTCAAAAATGATGGAAAGGCATGATTCGAGATGAACTTGGGTTGATGGTTCGCCTCCAATCATGTTGGGTGAGGCGGATTCGTGTTAGATTTTAGCGGGTTTTATTTCAAAAAATATTTCACTCGTATCCGATTTATTTATTAATTAGTATATAATAACTCGTGTCATATCGAATTCGTGTCGTGTATTACNTTTTATAGGGACACTGACAATAACACGTGTTTAAAATCATTCTATAATATCAAAAATTAACCATTAATCATACAATATTTTATATTTTAAATAATAATTTTATTTTTATTTAATTATGTAATTTAATATTAAATTAAACATAAAGAAAAAAAAAAGGAGAGAGACAAGTGTGGGTTAATCGAGTTGTTTGACATTGAGGAGTGTGTTGATCGAGTTGTGAGGAATAGGTTACCTTATGCAGGAACTAGGTAGCTACCAAATTTGAGATAACCATATGTTCAAATGAGAGTTTTTGAACTTGGCTGAAAACATTATGTTCCTTAACTATCTGTACAACGAGGTTTAACAAGGACTTGTGGTCTCTCACTTGGTTTTGATGGATTATGCTATTTCGTTCCCTCCATATATAATACACATTCACAGCAAAATTATCTTCTCAACACACTCACTATGGATTTGCCCTTCCAATTTTGGATTGCAGGACTTACCAATTGTTGCCAAGAGTTAAGTTGTTCCCACTGATCAGGAGTGAGTTGAAGCAGTTGTCTCCATATGCTCCTTGAGTAATGACATTCAAAAAATAAATGAGAATGGGTCTCATCAGCTTATCTATATAGAACACATTCCATCCCAACATTGTTTGTATTAACTTGAGTCCTATTTTTTATGCTAAACCTTGTTCTAATGGCTAGCCAAAGAATAAATGTCTTCATACAATTGTAGATCAATGTTCGATTATTACTATTGCAAAATATTTTCAGACACGAGATTATTTTTGGAGTACATATAAATAAGAATAGAAATAAAAACATAAAATCACTACAACATAAAACATTTTAAGACAAAACAACATATTTGTTGTTTTGGAACACATTTTTATCTTTTTGTACATTTGAGAGTGAAATTAGAAAAGTTTTAATCCTTTAGGTATAAATTGGGAATATGAATATTTTTAAGGCACAAAGTGTCATTCACACTATATTTTACCTCCTACATCTAGGGCAGAAGGGCATCTACGTTCTACGTTCAGGGAAAAAAGTTTAACATTCCTTGGTTTTTTTTTTTTTTTTGGNATAATCGGTGGAATATTTCGACTCAGTGGTTTGAAAGAGAATGAGGAATATTTTCCAGCCATTAGTATGACCTAATAATCCGTAGAAAAGTAGATCATTGAGAAGATGAAGAAAAAGAGAATCTGAGAGCATGTCCAAATAAACCCAAAAACAACAGTGTAATGGGGAAGGAATTAGTCAATGTAGCCACTCTCTTGTCGTCTTTCTCCTTGATCTTCTCCAATATCAATGTCCCAATCCCCTTTAGTGTCGTTAAACTCATGGACAACAATTATCTGTACCGTCGTTAGGTCACACACTTGCTTGAACTTTATATTTTATAGGGACACTGACAATAACACGTGTTTAAAATCATTCTATAATATCAAAAATTAACCATTAATCATACAATATTTTATATTTTAAATAATAATTTTATTTTTATTTAATTATGTAATTTAATATTAAATTAAACATAAAAAAAAAAAAAGGAGAGAGACAAGTGTGGGTTAATCGAGTTGTTTGACATTGGGGAGTGTGTTGATCGAGTTGTAAGGAACAGGTTACCTTATGCAGGAACTAGGTAGCTACCAAATTTGAAATAACCATATGTTCAAATGAGAGTTTTTGAACTTGGCTGAAAACATTATGTTCCTTAACTATCTGTACAATGAGGTTTAACAAGGACTTGGAGTCTCTCACTTGGTTTTGATGGATTATGCTATTTCGTTCCCTCCATATATAATACACATTCACAGCAAAATTGTCTTCTCAACACACTCACTATGGATTTGCCCTTCCAATTTTGGATTGCAGGACTTACCAATTGTTGCCAAGAGTTAAGTTGTTCCCACTGATCAGGAGTGAGTTGAAGCAGTTGTCTCCATATGCTCCTTGAGTAATGACATTCAAAAAATAAATGAGAATGGGTCTCATCAGCTTATCTATATAGAACACATTCCATCCCAACATTGTTTGTATTAACTTGAGTCCTATTTTTTATGCTAAACCTTGTTCTAATGGCTAGCCAAAGAATAAATGTCTTCATACAATTGTAGATCAATGTTCGATTATTACTATTGCAAAATATTTTCAGACACGAGATTATTTTTGGAGTACATATAAATAAGAATAGAAATAAAAACATAAAATCACTACAACATAAAACATTTTAAGACAAAACAACATATTTGTTGTTTTGGAACACATTTTTATCTTTTTGTACATTTGAGAGTGAAATTAGAAAAGTTTTAATCCTTTAGGTATAAATTGGGAATATGAATATTTTTAAGGCACAAAGTGTCATTCACACTATATTTTACCTCCTACATCTAGGGCAGAAGGGCATCTACGTTCTACGTTCAGGGAAAAAAGTTTAACATTCCTTGGTTTTTTTTTTTTTTTTGGCTTTCTACTGTCATGTACAATTTTGTTTCACTTGGAAAATAATATTGATGGCCAAATTACACTTTACTTCTCAAACTATTGCCCTAGTTTCATTTTAAACCTTCTAGTCCCAATATTTTTTTTTTCATATGCCCTTCAACAATATTAGTACTTAGCTTCCAGAAGGAAAATGATCACATGCTGGGCGAAGGGAACAACTACAACTAACATCATTGAGTGCACAATGTGAAACAATTACTATAGTTGAGGATGCGTTCTGTCAAGCATGTGTGGCCACTTTTCATCCAAAATCTAACGGTGATTTAAGTTTTGGACAATGTGAACCCAATAATATAATTGGTTGACATTTCAACAAAATGAAAACAAGTTAAGGGGGAAAGGCTACGGTGCTGCCTTCAGTACTATACCGAAATTTATTATCATTTAATATCAAGTTTTAACTTTTTTGAGGTGTAAGTTACAATCTTTAAAGGTCATAATCGAACATGATAGATTGTGATTAATAATGAAATTACAATTTTCAAAGGTCAAGTTACAACTCATAAGGGAGAAGTTACAACTGTTCAGGAAAAGTTCATAATCGATCATATGTATCTGTGATCGATCATAATCCCTTGATCGAGCATGGACTTCTCTTTTGGTTTGCAACTTCTCTTTTTTGAAGTATAACTCTACCATAAAAATAGTAAGCCGAGCTACAGTACCAAAGGCGGTACCGTAGACTTTCCCTAGTTAAGAAGGCAATTCACTCTTTCCCAGTTAAAAAAGTGTGTCACCGACCAGAACTAAGATTTGGTGGAAACTTGAATAGAGAAATACTTAGATTTTGTGGCCCCAGCCAGAACTAAGTTTTCTGGCATGTCAAGCTGGAATGTTCTTACATTGATTTGATATTTGGCACCACTGCATTATCTCCCTTCCGGGACAACTCACAGATGGCTTTTCTACTTTCTCTTCCTCCTTGAACCCACCATTCTCTTGTACGTCCCTATCTTTTCTTAATCCATCCATTATTTGCCCGATCTACAGTTCTTGGCCCATCTATTAACCTCATCTTTCATCAATTCGTTTCCTGACCACTTGTTTCTAAAACTCTCTTCCATACTCATCTCTCTCTCTCCTCCTTAAACCTTCCTACATTAAATCCTTCGCACCCACCTCTGAATCCATTGTAAAATCTTTAATCCACCAGCCATATATACTTAATCTAATCCATAATCCAGATCTCCTATGAGTTCTCATGAGCTCAGCACTGTTGCGTATGACAAAGCAATGAATACACAGCTCATGACTGAGCATGAAGTGGTACGAAGCCAAGCCATTGCTACAGAAGTGGTCCCAAATGAATCTTCCAATAAGCCAGATATTGTGGCGAGTAGAGCTCACGGCTATGTAGATGCAGCTTAAGTCTCTGTTCCCCAACAAGTTGCTACCCCAAATGCATCAGAGCTGTCAAAAAGTCAGCATAGTGAATTAATCTCAAGGGCTGAGACACAGCTAGAACATACCTCACTGCAGTAAGGTATTGACTGCCAGGCGCAGAAGCCCAACTCCCCAATACCATCTTGGAGTCAGGTTCTTAAATTTGGTTTGGATGGAGAAGCTTCAAAGACCTTCAACGAAACCCAAATTGCAGGTATCAAACTCAAATACTATGAACCACTAAAAGAGAATGAGAGGTTTGTGGTATCACCACCGAAAGAGGTAGGTATGAGAGGAAGCCTTGAGTGGCAAAATTGCCTAGTTGGGTATTTTATTGAGAAGAAACTCTCATACTCCTCTGTAAATTTCCTTGCCCATAAAGTATGGGGCAAAATGGGATTGTTAGAGGTTCTAGCAAATGATAAAGGATTTTATTTTTTCAAGTTCATGAGTGAAGAGACTAGGACTGCTGTTTTTGAAGGGGGACCTTGGTTGTTTGCGGGCAGGCCTCTAATCCTCAAGAGATGGCAGCCAAAAATAATCCTTGCCAAAGAAGATCACTCTGTTATCCCGGTATGGATTAAGCTATTCAATGTTCCACTCCAATTCTGGAATGAAGAGGGGCTTAGCTATATTTCTAGTGCTATAGGCAAGCCACTGTATGCAGACACACTAACTGCATCTAGGAAAAGACTGAGTTTTGCCAGAGTGTGTGTGGAAATTCAAGCCAGAACCAGGCTTATTGACTCTTTTGATCTCAGGGTGAATGTTGAGGGGAAAGATGAGAAGGTGGAAATACAAGTTGAATATCAATGGAAGCCCAAAGTGTGCCAAAGTTGCCATATATTCGGCCATAATGAGTCCACATGTCCTAAGATGGTAACAAAAACTATTTGGCAGCCCAAACATTCCCAAAAGGAATCTCATCCTCTTGCTGCTGGCAATGGCAAGGAAATCATATCCAATGAGGTGGAACCAACAACGGAGATGATCATGTCGAAAGAGAAGCCTCCATTAGATCCTGGATGTAGCAGCAACAGTGAAATTGGTGCTGCTATACTCAGGCAGCCCATTCATAGACTACAGGATGAAACTCAGGTGACATCCATCTCACTTGTGGAAGTGCAGGCCCCAGTTCAACTGTTTATACCTACTACATCTTCAAACAGATTTGAGAGATTGGAAATTGTGGGAGGCAATTTGGTGGTGGATTTAGACTATGCTGCAACCAGTTGTGATCATAACCATGGGGAGGCAAGTAAGCAACCTAGGGAGAATAAGAAGAAACTAAGAAAAAGTCCTCTGGAAAAAGGAAAGATAAAGGGACTGAGCCCTTCAAACTCAGGCTTTCTCCTCTCCTATGATTAAGTTAGCCTGCTAGAATATAAGAGGACTTAACAAATCCTCTAAGCAAGAAGCAGTAAAGAAATTAGTTTTTGAAAGTCACCTTGATTTAGTGGGGATTGTTGAAACTAAGGTGAGAAGTGTAAATATTTCAGCTGTCAGAAATAACATTTTTAGACAATGGGAGTTTTTGGCAAACTACAATAGTCATACTTTTGGTAGGATTTAGATTGGGTGGAATCCTAACTCTGTCATGGTAACTAAGCTCTCGGAAACTGATCAAGTGGTGCACTGTGAGGTGGTACATTTGGACACTGCAACTAAATTTTGTGTTTCCTTTGTATATGGCTCAAATGAGGAAAATGAGAGGAATGACTTGTGGAGAAATCTTGTTTACCATGCCGGTCTCTTTAAATCCTACCCTTGGTTAGTTATTGGGGATTTTAACACTATAAGAAACTGCAATGAGAACCATGGCGGACTGAACAGATGGGTGCAAGCTATGGGGGATTTTGATGATTGTGTTCAAGAAGCTGAGCTTGTTGATTTGAGGTACTCGGGGCTTTTCTTCACTTGGAGCAGTAGAAGAGAAAAAGGTGCTTGTGTTTCTAGGAAACTTGATAGAGCTCTTGTAAATGAGGATTGGATCCAGAAATTTGATAGAGCTAAAGCTGAATTCTTACCCCCCGGGAGTATCTGATCATAGTCCTGCAGTGGTGAAGATTGGAGAGGAGGTGAATAGGAAGAAGTGCCCTTTTAAGTTCTTTAATTTTTGGGCTGACAGAGAAGATTTTCTGCACATTGTCACCCAGGTATGGCAGGAACCTATTCAAGGATCTAACCAATTCAAACTTTGCTTTAAACTTAAGAAACTAAAAGCAGTGTTTAAAGAAAAGAACAGGAAAATTGGTGAGCTTGCTACCGTTGTCAGAGAAAAGAAAGTTTTGCTTGATAATTGCCAAAGGAGACTTGACCTTAACCCTTCAGACTCAGCACTTAGACAGGTGGAGAAACTTTTACTCAATAATTACTTGGAGGTTGCAAGGAACGAGGAAATCCTATATAAACAGAAATCCAAAATATTATGGTTGAGTGAGGGAGATAAAAATACCGCTTTTTTCTTTAAATCTATGAACTGCAGAAGGAACAAGAATAAGATTTTAAAACTTGAATCTGCTGATGGTAGAGTGGTTGATGGAGAGGAAACAGTTAAGGGTGAAGCTATTAACTATTTTCAGAGACTTTTAGGTACTACCATCAACCTTACTCCTCCCCTAGAGAGAAGATCAATATTAAGATCTCTACCACTTAAGAAGGTCACTGAGCAGCAAACAAATCAAATGATAGAGATATTGAAGATGAGAAAATCAAAGAGGTGTTGTTCTCCTTTAATAATATGAAGGCTCCTGGTCCTGATGGATTTACTGCATACTTCTTCAAAAAGGCATGGCCAGTGATTGGTAGGGACTTCATAGCTGCAATGAAAGAATTTTTTAGTCTGGGAAATTACTTAAAGAGCTCAATGCCACTGTGATTGCCCTTGCCCCTAAAAGTCCAAATCCAAACTCAATAGGGGACTTCAAACCCATCTCATGTTGTAAGTTGTTGTATAAGGTCATCTCTAAGATTCTGGTAAACAGAGTGAAGGCTGTGCTCCAAGGTATTGTAAGCTCTAATCAAACTATCTTTGTTCAAGGAAGGAAAATTGGGGAGAATATTATGCTTACTCAGGAACTCCTCAGAGACTATCATAGAAATTGTGGTCCTCCCAGATGTGCTATTAAATTGGATATTATGAAAGCTTATGACACATTGGATTGACATTTCCTTTTGGATGTCCTTGAAGCTTTACATTTTCCAGAAACGGTGAGAAATTGGATAAGGGAATGTATAACTTCTCCTCGGTTCTCTGTTAATATAAATGGGGAGATGGCAGGATTTTTTTCAAGCTCTAGGGGACTTAGGCAGGGTGATCCCCTTTCACTGTACCTTTTTGTTCTGGCTATGGAAGTTTTTAGTTATGTCATATTGCAGCAAATTACCTCAAATCCCTCATTCAGGTTTCATTGGAGATATAGGAAGATGACTCTTACTCACCTACTTTTTGTTGATGATGTCTTATTTTTTAGTCATGGAGATGCTCAGTCTATAAGAATTTTAAAAGTTGTGATTCACCAGTTTCAAGTCCTCACTGGGCTTAGAGTTAATCCCTTGAAAAGCAATGTATTCATGGCTGGGGGGATGTCTAATGAGGCAAAAGGTCAGATTACTAATATTCTGGGATTCCAAATTGGTGCTCTTCCTGTGAGATATTTGGGGATCCCTTTGGTGTCCACTAGATTCAAGAGACAATATTGTGATGCTCTGATGGAAAAAATGGAGGCTAGGGTGAAAAATTGGACCAACATGTTTCTATCCTTTGCTGGAAGGCTTCAATTGATTACTTCTGTGCTCAATAGCACCCAAAATTTCTGGTCAGCCCACATTTTTATTCCCTAACAGGTTCTCGATAAATTAGAAAGAATGCTTAGATCATTCCTCTGGAAGGGGACTAATCTCAAGCCTATTGGAGCCAAAGTGGCCTGGGTGGACATTTACAGACCTAAGAAAGAAGGGGGATTAGGGATTAGAAGACTTAAGGAGACGAATATGGAAATGATGATGAGGTATTTGTGGATTTTATTTACAGACAAAGAAAGTCTCTGGGTGAAATGGATTCATTCTTACCATTTAAGAGGGAAAAACATCTACGAAGTTAAGCCACCTCACTCTTGCTCTTGGAATTGGCTGAACCTCTTGAAACTGAGACCAATAGTTAGACCTCTAATTCAACATGTTATTGGTAATGGATAGAGTAATAGCCTTTGGTTGGATAATTGGCACCCTCATGGTCCTTTTCTACTTAGATGGAGTGATAATGTTATTAATCATGCAGGGTTACCTAAGGATGCTAACGTGGCTACAATCGTGGGCAACAATAGGTGATCATGGCCTACCACAGGTACACCTGATCTCTTGGAGATTTCAAATCATATGCCTACATCAGACAAATAAGGAAGTCCAGGTGAAGTGGACTATAGCAACAAATGGACAATTTTCTTCTTATTCGGCTTGGAATCACCTTAGGGCCCCTGGGCAAGAGGTCCCTTGGCACCATCTGCTGTGGTATGGACAATGCATACCTAGGATGAGCTTCATTCTTTGGCTAGCAATAAAGGAAAGGCTTAGCACTAAAGATAGAATGCAAAAATTTGCGCCGGATGTTGATGTGACATGTATCCTATGTAGGCATGACATGGAATCTCATTCTCACCTCTTTTTTAGTTGCCAGTTTTCACAAGATATTTGAATTTTTATTATGCAATTGTCTGGTGAACAAGGTCTATCGAGCTCTTGGTAGAATTTCATCGATTATGCAAGTCAAAGTTGGAAAGGTAAGTCACTTGGTAAGGTGTTAAAGAAGTTGTGCTTGACAACTACTGTGCATATAATATGAAAGGAAAGGAATAGAAAACTCCATACAAACCAGTTTAGGGATTGTAGAAGTCTTGTGAAGTGCGTCTTGCAAATCATCAAAGATAGATTAGTCACAATCAAATTCAAGAGTTCCCACAAAAACTTGTCTCTCCTTCAAGCTTGACAGCTTCTTGATGTGGCTTAGGTTCAAATGATATGTGCTAGGTATGTCCTGCGTTTGTGGATGAGGCAGGAGTTGTTGCCTGTTCTGCGCACTAGGGTGCCCTTATACATGATGATCATGGTTAATCGCTGTTTGTTGTGCTGGTTCTGAGGACATTTGCTTTGGGATGGATCATGTTGCTAGAGATCTCCTGCGCCTTGAAGCTTTTTGTTGACAAGAATGCACAGTTCATGTGCACTGTTCAAGTGCACAGCTTGTTTAATGCAGTTGTTGGTCTTTCTCCTCTGTTTTCTTCTTTCTTCAGCAGAGTGTTGATGACCTTTATCTGTTGTTTCAACTGGTTCCCCTCAGCTGCCTTTTATTTTGGTGTCTGCTGCCCTTGGTCTACTGCCTGGTCTCCATTGCAGCCTACCATAGTCGCTAGGCACTGTTCACGGCTTTCTTGTTTCACTGCTCTTGAATTCTGCCTTGATTGCTGCATGTTTGCTCTGTTATGAGGAGTTCATCCTAAGAGCATGAAAGGTTCTTCTGGCTCCTTCATCCATTTGTTCTCCCACTTGTATATTGGCATTGGACTTTCCATATTATCTGATGGAAGCCTCTTTGCTTTCTTTATCTCCTTTGAGTCTGGATTCTGTTGGAAGTACCAGCTCAAGGCTGACACTTTCTTTAGAATTCTACACTCTTGGTTGTTGTAAATCTTTTGGTTCTACTTTTGTATTAGGTAAATGCATTGTCATGTGAGCATCACCTCTATTTTTTTTTTCTTATGAATATATTTACCTTCCGTAAGTTTTTTGGCATGTGACCCTAAAGGGTTCAAGGAATTGAGACCAATCCATAAATGCAATAGAAAAATAATTGATTTCAAACATAATGGGACAAGATACGGGAGGAATTTCTACACCCTTTAGCTTTGATGGCACATAAAAGCTATATTATTGGACAATAAGACTATACCATAGTGGTTTTTTGTCAAATGCCTGTTAACTATTAAATTGATCCTAACTAGACAATGATTTCAACAAGAATGTGGGTATGGTACTAAAAAATAGTCGAGAAATTATTTTCAGGTGTAAATCTTTTTTTTTTTTTAATTTTTTGTGATATTTCAACGATCCAATTTTAGCCATTAATTTTGCACTTCCTCTATTTTGACAATAGAAATATGTATTTTTCTAAAGTTGTGGACATTTCAGCTGAAACATGTCGGAGATTAAATTTTGGGCCAATGTGAAATTGATTCAAGTAATTGAGGGGGGAAATGACATAAACTTAATTGTTAAGGGGGCAAAGTAAGACCCGAGTCATAGTTAAGAGGGCCAAAGAGTAATTTACCTTTTTTAACATATACTTCGAATTCTAAGTGTGTTGAAACAAATTGCACATATAGTCCTCAAACTATGACCCTTGTATTAATTAAGTTCTTGAACTTTTTTTATATTAACTGAACCCTTAACTTTCTAATTGTGTCAACCGATCTTTTTGTATGCATCCAGAAGATTTTCTACAAAAGTTTGGAATAAACTACACGTGTGACCCTAAAATTATAACTCTTATGTCCATTAAGTCCCTAAATTTATTTTTTTTATGTATATTGAACCTCTAAACTCTCTAATTGTACCAATTAAGCCTTTTGTCTTTTTATACCATATAATCACATGAGTGACACACTCAATGGAGGCAGACAGAAGGGTTTAATTGATACAATTAGAGAGTTTAGGGGTTCAATTGACACAAAAGCAAAAAAAAAATTAGGGATTTAATTGACTCAAAGATTATAATTTGAGGATCATATGTTTAATTTACTCAAGGAAAAGACTAACATTGTTAAGTGGACAATGTGAAAACAAGTAATCATAGTTGAGGCATTGTGTTATATATGTGTCCACTTTTCATTCAAAATCTAATAGTCAGTTAGGTTTTGAATAATATGAAGCCAATTAATGTAATTGGTTGAAACTAGGATCATAGCTATAGGGAAAACTATCATTATTTTTTTTTTTTTTTGGTTTAGTTAGATTGACCTTTGCTCGCTTTCTTAGCTATCGACTCGTAACACTTGTTCATGAACATAGCATCATAAAATTAATTGATGTAAATGAAACCATAAAATGGAAATCAAACAATCAATAATACCTTGTAAAGCACATAACCATGCATTTAGGACACCACATTTTGGGGCATTGGCAAGTGAGAAGTGTAGACTAACAAAAGCAATCTGCGCTTTAAAGGAAGTATAATCCTAAAGCCAGTATTTCTCACCATAATACAATGTCATTTGAGCTAACTAACAAAATACAAATGCATAAAATCAGTATGCATTCTCATTGAATGCACAATGTAAAAATTACTGTAGTTGTTGAGGTATTATGGTAGACATGTGTCCATTTTTCATCCAAAATCTCAACTAAGCTGTGAACAATGTGAAATGTATTAATCCAATTGGTTGAAAATAGGACAATAGCTTGAGAGAAAAATATAACCAATCCGTTCTTTTTTTATTTTAGTTAGGTAGACCTCTATTCACTATCTTAGTAGTCGTTTGATAATACTTTTTTTTAAGTAATTCTTTCTAAGTAATAAAATAATTTCATCAGAATATATATTTTGTTATAATTGAGCAAAAGTGATCTACATATATTCTAGTATATAAATAACACCCTCTTCAAAAAAATAAAAAATAGCATTCTGTTGTTTATATATTTTGGCAACACACTACTCTGGACATTGAAAAAAATAAAAATATCGGATATCAAAGTCCACTCATGTGTTTTAGTACCATACCGAAATTTATAAATTAAATAAGGGTTAGTAGATCTCATTTGGGATTAAGTTATAGCTCAAAAATATCTATATCTGCAGTCCGAATAAGAGGATGATAGGTTAGAGTGACATGCTTATTTAATTATTTCTCACCTTATAAATAGGATTGAATCCTATGTAAACAATTATCATTAATAATACGTCTCATGTAGTTCGATTTATTTCTTGTATGTGAGAAGTTCTTTGTATTGGGATGGTTGTTGGTCTTCTACCTTTTGCCTAGAAGAGCAGCCACCCCTCTGCCCCCTCTTTTTTGTGGTCAATTGTAAATGGGGGTATATTTTTGTATTTGAGGCTTTTTTGGTTAATAGAAATTTTTATTTATTGAAAAAACTAAAACAATACATCTATGTAGTTTATTGGGCATTAGATTCGAGGATATAAGCACATTGTGTCAAACAACGTATATAATTTGTGTTCCTTTTCTTTTTACACAGAAGAGCAACACTAGGGAACCAGAAAGAATATTAGTTGATGGATCAAGCAAATCATTGATCACATGTCGATGTTTGTGTTGGTAATGTATATTTATCTAATATTATAATTACGAAGTTGAATTCTCAACTTATAAAAATACAACAACGGTTCAGATTGATTCAATTTTTTACTACTTTGATCTAATGGTATAAAATTTATCCCCAAAATTTTTTCCTCCCCAAAAAACATCATCTTTCTCTATATGACCCCCAATGTCAAATAACTCAATCAATACACTCCCTAATGTCAAACAATCTCATCAATTCACATATACATGTTATTTCATAATCCCTAATAGAGGCAACCTAACTTAATTTAGTATTAATTATTCATGATATTTATTTTATTTTATTCATGTTATAAGGTATTTAAACTTGCACCGACTACTCACTCGAACTCAGAAACTAACTATTATAATTTGAGTTGGTTTAAAGTATGTCTACGAAGAGATAAAGGTGACTACATATTTGGAGGGACAAAGCACAGAATTTCTTGTTGCTTGGTCTCCATAGTGTGAAAGCTGAGCACAAGATCTAAAGACCCTTCGGGCATCTTTGCTTTGGGTATAAAGAAAGGATGAGGCTGGATAATTGGCTCTTATCCAATTTATACAGATGATATTATCATAAGAACTATTTGATCTTATTTTTATATTAAAAGTTTGAATTAAGGTTAGGATAAAATATAAATCTATAATTATAATATCAAATTTTTGTTTGAATTAAGTAATAGTGTATAATAATAAATTAAAAATAACAAAACACATTTTGCGGCCAAGAGCTTGCATATGAAAGTGTGAATTTAGGTTTGTAAGGGTAAGAAAGTTACTGTGTTTATAGTACTAAATTTGTTAAAAGTAAGAGTAATGCTATTGAGATTCAAAAAGTTGATATAATTTTCTGACATGCTAAGTGTTGAGTGATAGAGTCTCAATAAAAAAAACCTAAAGATTACAGTCATAACAACATGATTGGAACATCTTCCTGCTGAATTGATGGATATCGTTCTGAACATGCCTTCCTATCTACCAAATCATCTGAGAGAAGACACTGTGAAATGGACACTTGCCCCAAATGGCTTTTTCTCTTCATTATTCGCTTGGAAACAGATTAGGGAGCATCAGCCTAGAGTACCTTGGTACCATCTAGTATGGTTTTCTCAAGGCATCCCTAGAATGAGCTTTATACTATGACTGGCTATCAGACAAAGGCTAAGCACAAGAGATAGAACCCTAGCTTATGCTGCCCAACTTGGGACTGATTGTAACCTATGCAGCCATTCCCAAGAATCTCATCATCATCTCTTCTTTGCTTGCCCTTACTCAAGGTTCATCTGGTGTCATCTGATGCTTTTATGTGGTGAACAATGGCAAACTACTTCATGGCAACCCCTGCTTGATCAAGTTGTTCAAACATGGAAGGGTAAATCCATGCTCAGAACCCTTCAAAAGCTAGGCCTCTCTGTAGCTGTTTACTACATTTGGAGAGAAAGGAACTCAAGGCTCCATAGCCACCAACCCAAGAACTCCAATGTCATCTTGCATGCTATTGTCCAAACCACCAGGGACCGAATGCTTTCTCTTAAATTCAAGATCACTCCAAAGAATGAAAGATTACTTCTAATCTGGCAGCTTCCCAGCTCATGCCTGCTATGATGTCCAAGTTTGTTTTGCTTTGTTTTGTATAGGACTAGGGCTAATTCCCTTGCGGTACTTAGCTAAAGCTTGGTACCTCTTAGGAATTCCCCATACTTTTGTTCACCATTGAGGTTTCTCTGCTTGTATTGGCTTTTGTTTGATGTGCATCACAATTTTTTTACATGAATGAAAACTTTTACTTTTCGAAAAAAAACAAAACATGATTAGAACATGTCATTGCCACATTTTTAGGTCAACAAATTAGGTCAATTTTTTTAAGTTCCAATAGCATTACTCCAAAAATAATTCCACCTACCACATGATATTCTTTAATACATAATATTAGGTGTAAATGACAATAATAAATCACACCAGAATTAATAAAAAATTAATATTGAACTCCTATAACCCAATCCAAATTTTATATTACAACATGACCGAATTAAATTAATCTAATCTAATATCTTAATACTTAAATCAGAACCATCCCTCGATCACTAGTGATAAGATCCTCCTTTTTTTTTATTTTGATAAATTGTCTTGGCGGTCTTGAAATAT